AACTAGCAACCAAACGCTTACTACATTCACTTATAAAATCATAACAAAAATCAAATTATTTCAATAAAACAACAATAACAGTCACACATTAACAACCACACAACAACAACAACAAAAACAACAACAACAACCACACAGTACTACAACAATAACATTATTGACATTAATAACAACAATCGCATAACGCACTCCTAAACCATATTGCATGTGTAGCGGCACTCTCCTAATACTCTGATTTATAAGCAGACTGACTGCCTGCCTGGCTAGCGGTACTGTGCCATAAAAGCTTTCTATATTAATAAAGCACTGAGCTTCGTTTTGCTTATCAGAGTCATCACGATTGTTTTCACGTCAGCAGTGCCTCACTTTTTCACTGTTGTTGTAATTGCCTGCCATGTTAATTTCTCAATTGTAATAACTCGTTATAATCGTTACTTATAAATCTTAACGACAGGCTAACAAGCTGTCACGTTCCGAAAGCAAAATATTTAAATGAAGTTTTGCACGTGAAGGGGTTTGCAGATTGAAGTTGCTTAAGATACTTTCAGCCTCGTCGGGTTCAAAAAAAAATTAATAAGAGATGTCAACTCATTTGGAGTTTGTTAAAAATTTAAACGTTTGAAATTCGTTGATGTGTTCTTATGGTATCATCGGCTGACGTCATTACCTGGAAAAACAAAATTTGGTGGTGCAGCTTTTTCACAAAGAAATTTAATAAATGTGGAGACATCATGTAAAATACCCGAGTGTGACCGAGCTGATTCACTGTTGACCAGCTCACCGATGATTTCATGCAATGCTATCAAATTCTTCCGATTTTTGCCATTTTTAAAGACTTCATTTGACGACGTAAATTATTTTCAGGCTTTCAGCATAATCTTCATTGCTGTGAGCTATAAGTTCCAAATTCACCTTTGCAAAATAAAAACATCACCACATCACATTCGTTTATTAGCACAACATTGCATCAACATACAACTCTTTCATATAAAAACTTTCATATAACAACACCACATCAGCGTTACAGCAGTATGACATCAACACAACAACGTTTGTTCAACATCAGAGCATTGCAGTTTTGTTAGAAATGTAAGCGTGCATGGATAAATGCATGCATGCATGGTCCATGAACGATTAGAAGATGCATTAGCATTTGTAATCTTTACGACTATCCCGTAAACATCAAAATTAATGCTTGCATATTTTATGAGTCTGTAACATACACACATACACTACAAACACGCAGACCCACACTCACACACGCACTCACACAGACCTACACACACAAGCAAAAATAAAGAATAAGAGAAGGAGAGGCAGAATAGAAGAGAGACAAACAATTTGCTCTTGCGCCAAAGATGAATGCGTGCAGTTACCAAATTTTTCTTGTATTACGTTATCCGCAATATATTATTCTCTATTACTTTCGCTTTAATAGGCAAATACAGTTATGAGCAGAACGAGATTTAGCCAGCGGAGTAAGAGAGAACGACGTTAATGATGTTAGCTACGATGGATGTGCTGGAGCTGCAACTTTTGTCATTCTTTTTTCCGAGTTCCTTCACGTTTGTGTGCGTTTTGGTGTGACTGACAGTGAAATTTAGAAATTTGCTCCAATGTCTGGCATTGCGTTTTGCAAGTGTTTGCGAGTGAGTGCATGCATAATATTCTGCGTTTTCGTAAGCTTAAGTGTTCATAAATAATTGTAACCTGCCTTACTGACTGACCGATGGATATTTTTTTTTTAGAAAATCTTGGAACTATTTTGGGATTTCGTTGGAAATGCTTTTGTGTGAATGTTTATTCATCGCATGTGCACTCAGTGAAAAGTTCCCATTCACATGCACATTATATTAACGTACACTGAATTTATTTGTGTGAATTGTTTCCCAACATTGTTTTTTCTATGTGGAGTAACAAGATGCCCAAAAAAATTTGGCAGAACGAATGAGCCATCCACTCTGTAAGTTATAAAGAAGAAGCATGCTTATGAATTTGTAAAGAGAGCATAAATATTTAATATGAAGACTAGAACGATGACGAAGCAATACATATGCATGCATACATGCATGGGTACTATTGTACAAACATAGGTACATAAACACACAGATGCATGCATACATGGTATGTATAGACACGTACAAATAAACAAACCAGTAAATATATAAAATACAAACATGCATGAATACGTTCGTACAAATACACACACACATGGGTACAAACATTCATCGTTTTACTTGTCAATGCACACGTACACACACACGTCCAGTCAGCTGCCTATAAGACAATTTTGAGTAATGCAGCTACGTGGGTTGAGATGTACTACTAACTGGGCGTGAAGTACAATTTTCATTCAGTTTAATTCAAGTTTTTAAACATTCATCATTAAATTTCGTGTTCGTATATGAAGTAAAATGAAAAATCTATAAGAATAAATAAATCAACCTATTAACTAATTAACTAATAAACAATATATCAGACTTTCAGATAAACAAACAAACTAACAAATACAAAAATGAACATGTACACATAAACACCAACCAATTAAAATTAATAATGATGGCAAACAACCTCATATGATTTTGAAAACTACAAAGTAATCACAAGCACAATTATTTAATGTTTCTACTAATAATTTATCTCTTCAGTAATGTTAAAACAAATGTTACTCTTATCTGTAGAACCGTAACAGCATATTATACTTGTTAACTACTGCAGTTCAGTGTTATAAAACTAGCGTTATGTTATCAAATCCAGAATCCCAATAGTTTCTTTAACAATTGTAGTCTCAGTTTTTTTCAGAGGTTTCAACAAAAAACTCACAATGTATTTGAATACACGTGAATCGAATCAACGGATAACATGCTTTTTATCTAATAAGCTTGAATCTCTATGCAATCGAACCTAGTCACTACAACTGCAGCTTCTGACACCTTAACCATTTCACCACTCTGTGTTGTTATTTGTTACCAGTTATTTATTTATTTTTTTAATAGCTTTTTATTAATTTATAAAAAGTATTCCAATCAATGAAATCTCATTGGATTTAACATGCACATTTGTGTGTGTGTGTGTGTGTGTGTGTGTGTGCGTGTAGTGTTTGAAATATGTGAATATTTCTTTCATAATTAATGTTGGTGAAGATGTTGGGTTGGATGTTTGAGTAATGTGTTTAATGGCGCGATCAACATTGGTGATGTTTACCGTCGTTGAGGCTGTTGAGATTGTTGATGTTATTAATGTTTTTGAAATTGTTGACGTTGCCGATGTTGCTGAAATTGTTGATGTTTGTATGATGTCATTAACAATGATGACGTTGATGATAAAATTAGACATGATGGTACTAATGTGACCCTCAAGATCGGTGATGCGAGTGGAAGCAATGACCAACAATGATAATGAGGATGATAATGAGATGAAACATGATGATGTCACTGACGATGTCACTGATGATGTCACTGATGATGTCACTGATGATGTCACTGATGGGACCAGTAGTGACGGTGGTGGTTTAACGAATAAACAATGACTCACTCTATATCTCTCACACACTGCATATGTGTATGTATATTTTTATCCATTTTACAAATGCTTTCCTGGTTGATTAAACATGATCAATTCAGCAATAATGTTGATGATCGATGTAATGATGCTATCAAGAATGATGATGAAAAAGAAGATGATGACAATGAAGAAGAAGAAGATGATAATAGTGTCAATGCATGTCAGCATATCACTTTAATCACTGCACCGTCGCTTTCCCCAATGATAACAAATTGATGGTTTGCTAGAGGCTAGGATGATGATGGTGATGATGACACAGATATATAAATATATATATATATATATATATATATATATATATATATATATATATATATATGATGAGGACTTTGATGATGACAGATTTGCATATGATGATGTCTGTTACTATAGCAATGATGAAATTGTGGCATGCTACTGCTGCTGCTGATTATGAATGAATGAATAAGTTAATTAAAAGATGTTGGTGGTGTTGATGATAATGTTAATAAGGAAAAAGACGGCAATGCTGATGATAATGTTGACGCGAAAGACAACCTGCATTTTGCAATCAAACGATGACAAATAGAAAATATGGCTTGTGATGATGTGTTCAATGAATGATGGATCGATGTGCAGATGGATGTGTGTATGTATGTATGTATGTATATATATATGTATGTATGTATGTATGTATTATTATTATTATTATTATTATTATCAACAATTTATTAAGCGCATTATAAAATTTAAATTTCTCGAAAGCGCTCTCTATTATAAATGAAATCAGTGAAGGTCAATAAAGTACAAATCAATAAAGTATTTCTATGTCAAAATAAATATGTTTTTAAGTTCCTCTTAAAATCATCAAGCTTTAGTCCAGGCATTCTGAGCGATTGCGGAAGACTGTTCCACTCAATTGGTCCTGACGAGGCAATATTTCTAGTTGCAGTTTGTAGTTGAGTTGTTGTCACTGCCAGTAGGTTGGCATAGTCTGATCTCTATTTTACACCTGTTTAAAAAGCTGGTTTTTTAAGATTTTATTTACTAGATATACTGGTAACAACCCGTTCATAGCCTTATACATAGTCACACAAATCTTATAGTTGATTCTTTTTTTCACTGTTAGCCAATGTAGGTCTCTTAAAATGGGTGTCACATGGTCATACTTTCTACATCCAACAGTTATTTTTGCAGCTCTCTTCTGTATTGATTGAAGAAAAGCAATAAATCTCTATGGTAATCCATTGAACAAGCTATTACAGTAGTCTAACCGTGAATGAACAAACGCATGAATTAGTGTTTGCATGGTTGTTTGATGTAAATATTTTAGAACGCGGTATAACTGGCAAAGCTGATAAGAATGTATGTATGTATGTATGTATGTATATATGTATGTTAAAACCAAAACGTGATGAATGACACCAAACAGTCAAACATCTGATTAAAAGGGTTAACACTTTAATGTATCGTTAGTCTCACACGTCGGCGTTTAAATTAATATTTTCCGACACACAAACACGCAGAAATCGCTGCAACAAACACGAGATGTGGTTTATTGCAAAAAAGAACTCTCTGTTGTCACCTGACCGAATACCAATCATTTTACACAATGTTTTAATAAATTTTGAAGTATTGGGGTTCATGGGTCCAAGGACCTCGATACATATTGGCAAAAAATCTAAGGAAGGCAGGGCGTGTTGATATTTTTTAATTTTTTCGTCCGATGCCCTGATTGCAGCCATACCACATTCTTTGCTGGTAAGGTGAACGTAGCGTTCGGCCCAGGTACCAGGAACCGTAACATCCCAAGCCAAACATTTACCAGCTCTCCAGGGAGTAAGAGTACAACCGTCTGGTCGCTTGCCATCTTGCACTGAAATGCCAGATGGTTCCTTCAAAACAGGAATAGAAGCTTTAGAAAAAAGCCGGCAAATGTAATCATTCAAAGCTGAATGACGAAGTTGACGGCCTCCACCTAAACGGCAAACCAAACCATGATGACCAAATTCGTCCGCCTCCGCGCCGCAACGACACAGATATTTATTTTGTATACTTAGGCCAAGTCTGAAACCAACGGCAAATCTAACAGACTCGTCATCGAGTCTGGTGCCTACGGAAGTGTTGGGCCACGACCTCAAACAACCACAACTAACATCACTAGTTGCAGCCAATAAGCGGGCGGAGGAAGAAGCACCGACACCAGAAGACAGAAGTTCATGAAAAGTCTTCTTATATTGCTCATCTAAAATTTGAGCTTGTGAAGGGCTTTCAGGTGTGGTCGGCAGAGGTGGGATGTCACAGCAACAACAAAATCGGCAAAGCAAGGCGGACTGGAGGTCAAGAGTGGCAGCGGCAGAAGATTTATAGACGATTGGTGCCAACTGAACCACACTGAGTAACCCCAGACCACCATACCGCACCGGCAGCTAAGCCTGGGACCAGCCACTGTCAGTCAAATGAACATTGCAAATGGCTGACAAGGCGGTACGCAAAACATCATCAAATCTGCCCAGCAACGATGGGTTAATGTAGCTGGATGTACGAAGAAAATACATCATTTTGGGCAAACTGAGGGCGCTTCGGACAATAGTCAGGGCGTCGTGGGCGGAGAGATGAGACACTCGGTCGAGGGCGAACTTAAGTTCTGAAAAATTTTTTATCAAAAAATTTAATTTGGGAGTCGCCCTCGAACAAGGGTGTGCCCAAAAGACTTAAATTTGATTGATTGATGTATGTATGTATGTATGTATGTATGTATGTATGTATGTATGTATGTATTATTATTATTATAAAGAGAAAACTATCAAATTATAACTAATATTAACAACAAATAGCAAGAATGAAAAGAGATGAACTATAATAAAAAAATGTATGTATGTATTACAAGTCAATTTGTATGTATGTATGTATGTATATATGTATGTATGTATGTATGTATGTATGTATGTATGTATGTATGTATGTATGTATGTATGTATGTATGTATGTATGTATGTATGTATGTATGTATATATGTATGTATGTATGTATGTATGTATGTATGTATGTATGTATGTATGTATGTATGTATGTGTGTATGTTTGTAGGACCAAACATGTATGAACACATATTTTGAGGCGTTTCTATTTTTTTCCATGTTAGATTTATGCATCTGGTGTTCGCCAGTACATGTAATAAGTTTTTTTTTCTCATGTGCATAGAAACTCTCCAGGAAGCTTATTCACTTTCGCTGTTGTTCCAATGTGTGTGCTGCTTCTCTGTTCTGCTGTAAATTATATGTGTGTTTGTATGTATGTGTGTGTGAAGTGTGTTTTTTGTTTGTGTGTGCGTGTGCGTGCGTGTTTCATATTATTTATGACCTTGGTAAAAATTTGTTGTGGCTTTAACCTCTAGTTTCAAGTTTTTTTTTAGTTTAATAGAATTTAGATTTGAAATTACAATTAGCAGTTGCCGTTAAAATTGATCAGGTATAAGTGCGTTCGCTGGAGTTGATAGTTAGAAATGTGGATGGGTTTGTGGCTCAGTTGACAAATGTGCAAACAGAGGACAGATACTTACTTTCTCAGGTAGTGTGCAGTGCAGATTTTTAAAAATATTGAAACATCATGATCATTTCATTAAAACAAATTTAAATAATGAATTTTCAATAAAATATTTAATTTCCAATTTGAAGAAGCACGTAAACAGACTGAGAAACGGAAATAAATACAGTAGCGTAAAAATGGAGATATGGAGAAACATGTTCATGTTGGGATGGTTGACAGCCAGAAAGCAACCATACGTGCAACCAACCATGCAACCAACCATGCAACCAACCATGCAACCAACCATGCAACCGACCATGCAACTAACCATGCAACCGGGCAGACATCATTAATGATAATTTCTACTGATTCATCTCGTGCCAACCAATGTAGGTGGGTTATAAATAAACATCAGCATGCATGCATCATCCATCATTCAACATTGATTTCTTCTTAACGACTATCATTCGCTAGCTCTCCCTGATTAATGTCTCTGCTGCAGAAAGTCAAAAGTGTAATCGTTATATTAATATTCTAACTAGCACCCAATATTTCAACATTTTGGGGCTAAAATTTTATAGAATGGCAATAAATTTTGTACTAAAATCTTTTACAAGTCGAGGTTTCCCGCAGAGAAAGCAAAATCATAAATGTGATTATGTAGTTACTTAGATTAGTTTCTTGTTTCTATTACTGTTGGTATTGAAATAAACATTCAACAAAGTTTGCGTTTAAAGCAGTTGTGTTCATCTATCGGAAATCATGAACCTTCGGAATAACGAACACTTGCCGATCGTTGGAAGCTACAACACTGGTGATGGAAATACAGAGATCATTGAAGTTACAACATTGGCATTGGTAGTCAAGGATTACAACAATGTATATATCCGTTTATATTAATTTATGGAACTTTGGAAATCCGTTTTTTAATGAAAGATTTTTTCTTATTATTTTAATTTTTTTAAATTTTGTATAAGCCGTTAAAAGCCTCATGGGTTTTTGGTTTTATAAATAAATAGATAGATAAATAAAAAGTAAGAAATTATAAATTTGATTTAACGCCAATCCACCAGTCGGTATGTAACGCTAGGTAAATTATTTTATTTCATAAAAATTCATCAGATACATGCAATAGTTACTTTTTTATATTGTAATTATTATATTATTGCAATTTTTCCAAAACAATCAGTCTCGGTAATTATCTGGAATAAAAAAATTGCTGTCTGTCGCGGAAATGATTTCTTGTCGACGATTGTAATTAAGTTGTTTTACACTGTTACAACGTTACAGCATTTTATTCTATGTTGCTGAATGTTACTTCATATTTTACTGAATGTTACTATGTTACTGAATGTTACTTCATATGTGGCTGAATGTTACCATACTACTAAATGTTACTTTATATTGTTGTAACCCTTGACTCTCGTAACTACCAATACCAATGCTATAAATTCAATGATTTCTATATTTCCAACACCAGTGTTGTAGCTTCTAACGATCAAGTGTTCGTTATTTTGTAGGTTTAAGATTTCTGATAGATGAAAACAACTGTTTTAAACGCAAACTTTGTTAAACTTTTATTTGAATACCAACAGTAATAGAAACATCAAACCCATCCGAGTAACTACATGAATCACATTTACGACTTAGCATCAAACTTTGCCAGAAACATGACTGCAAACACGACTTCGCAGGACCAATATGCTAGATTTTTAGCATAAATTCAATATATGTCCACAATTTTTCATCCAAAGATTACTAATATAGCAAAGATAACAATAATCAAATATTAAATAATATAGCATAATTTGATCATTCCGGCAGTTATAACAATATGTTACTGAATGTTACTATGTAACGAAATGTTGCTTTGTATGCTACTGTGTGTTACTGTTGTACTGCATGTTACTGTACGTTTATATGTTAAGTTGCATCATTTGATCAACACATCAAACGACTTAGTATGGCGCTATTTTCCTTCATTAAATTAATGATTCATAGCGTTATAGAACACGAACAGAAACTGAACAGAGCTGAATTTTTTTGTAATCGACTGTTCTTACGATGGTGGACAAAAAACACAAACCAACAGAAAAAACAAACGAACGAACGAACGAACAAACGACCTACCAACCGAACTACCTAACGAAATAACGAAAGAGTAAACAAACAAACAAACAAACAACGAAAGGACGAACGAACGAACAAACAGACGAAACAAACGAACGAACAAATGGCAAACATAGGAAGTCTGTATGAAAAATAAATAGCGTATTTTATGATGTCAGCGATAGCACTGACATAACAACCTAATTTTAATATCTTCAATGAATAATAATAATAACAAAAACAACAACAACAACAACAATAATAATAATACTATTATTAATAATGATTATAAAGTCCGAAGTTGTAATAACAATAAAGCCAGCCATTGTCAAATGAATAATTTATAAAGATGATTGTGAGAGCAAATTGTTCTGACGATGATGATGATGGTGAGGTGGTTATGATGATGATGGTGGTGTGGTGGTTATGATGATGATGATGGGGTGATAATGATGATGATGTTAATATGTTATGGTGATGGCGATGATAATAATGGTGGTGATGTGATATGGTGATGATGATATTGATGTTGATGATGGTGATATGATGTTATAATGAAGACGACAATGAGGTAGTAATACGTAGTACGATGTGACGATGACGTCATAAAGATATGATAACGTCATAATGATGTTAAGACGACTATAACAATGATGATGTAATGAGGAGATGATGCCGATACAATAATAGTGATATCATCGCATAATGATAGCAAATTCTTTGATAGCAGGTTGATACTGTCGTTAATAACAGTATCTATATCTTGTACAACACTAATGATAGTTGGATAAGAGTATAATATTGAGTATAGTATTGTTTGGCAGATAATGATAATGTTGTGATGATGATAAGACGATAATAAACTTTATGTGATAACAACGTAGAAATGTGATAACATAAAGATGCAATGACTTGTTTAGACGAATTTAGAGAATGACGAGATGACATGAGGCTGATAGCAACGCACTGATAATGATGATTGTGTGAGTGAGGATGTAAGGATGACAAAAATGCTGGGAAGATAAAATGGCGATTAATATGATGACGTCATAATTTGGGCTGCAATTTGAGAATAACGAGAAAATTACCGTAAAAAGTTGATGGTAATAATATTGCGTAATGATATTAATACGATGATAATGACGTGAATATATGCTGGGGTGTCGTGAGGATGGTGATGATAGAATCGTAGACGATGATGATACGGTATCATTATGTTGATATGAACGATAGTGATATGAAATTGGGGTAAGGGATGATGATGATAGTCATCGTTATACTATTATTATTATTCTAGATAAAAATTATAAGATGATGTCGATGATGAAATAATTATGATATAGATATATAATTTGTGATGATGATGATGATGTGATGATGATGATGGCGATGATGGTATATAATCGATGTGATGATGATGATAATGATGATGATGATGTGATGATGAAGAAGAAGAAGATGATGATAATGATAATGATGGAGCATATAATGATGATGATAAGTACATGATGATGATGACGATGATGATGATAATAATGATGATGATGAATGATGAAGAATGATGATGATGATGACGATGATGAGGATGACGATGATGAGATGAATATGATGACACTTCAATTGCTAGACGGCATTTGCCACCAGCACGCTGAATTATTCACTAACAGCTCTTTTTATTTATTCCCTAATTGTTCATAAATAAAATATAATTGAAAATAAAATGGATTTCATTGATTTTTTTTATTTGTTGCTAGATGGTGTTATTCTGTTGCACTTTCAACTGCATGGTTGAAACTGTTTAGGTTTGCTTGTTTATTCTACTCAGGCTTCTAAAATACAGTCACCCACTTACTCACACGTTTCAAACATGTTAGTTACATGGCAACACTTTAATTCCTCAATCCATCTATCGTCATCTCATCTTTTTTAATTCCCAACATTTTCAGTAGTTCTTGGAGAATTTTTGCACATCACTAAATTTTATTTCCTCACCTTATTATCTTCGCATCGTTCAGCCCGTAGCTAGAAGAAAGAGGAAATTCCTAGCAACATAAATTTCTGGTTCAATCTTTTTCTACATTTTGAAGATATTATTCTTTATGAATTACACTTTCGAAGATGATCGTGCTAATGATTATTACAAAACACAAGATTGCATGTAATCTGATTATAAAGATTATTGATTAAAACAAACCCACAAAACTTTTCTCATTCGTTCATTCGTTCATTCATTCATTCATTCATTTATTCATCCATTCCATTACAATTTTGTTGTTGTTGCTGCTGCAAGCACTGATGATTAAGAAACTTTAAAACATTCCTATGCAAAACTGCCACCAGCATTTGTTTGTACAACAAATTATATGAATGTTACCAGTTTAAAAAATTTAAATTGTTAGTTCGGCGATGTTTGCCCACTTCTCCCATGCTGTTGCAGAGTTTTTGATGCATTCTACAGAACCATTCAGTAGGAAGCATCGTTTAAATTGAGAAAAAAAACATGCAAACAACATAATGAGATTACAATAAAAGAATGGACATAATAACAAATGTTTGCTTAAAATCGAAAGGAAGTTTTGAAAAATTTGTAAGAAGAACGCGAACACCCGATGGCTTCTCCTTTTATTCGTTAATTGAATTTCGCGAAGATTCAGCAACTCACTTTGATGCTTACTTGCCATTCCACCACTCCATTCAACACACCTCCTTGCACTTTTCTCAATCTTGTCATCAATAGAAGAGAAGACTGTTGAACATGATGGTGGCTCGTTAGCTATCGACACACAACAGAACATTCGACCATCCCAGATGAATGCAAGATGACATTACTTCAGATGCCTTCGCCTCTAACACCAATTTGCTGAACAATCAACTTCTTTGAAGGAATGAAATAAAATGTTGATCAAACTCACACACACAAACACAACACAAACACACACACACACTCACACACACATTAACCAAACATACACATACACACATACACACACTCATACACACATATTCTCATACACACATATTCTCACACACTTTCACACTCACACACACACTCTTACACACTAACATACACACACACATTCACATACACAAATTTTCACTCACTCACTCATTCACTCACAAACACACACACCTACACAAGCACAGATATACATACACACACACACACAGATAGAGACACACAGAAACACACCCACACTTATATATGAAGGCCCAAAAAAGAAAATCAATGTCAATTGGCAACCCAACGGAAGCTAGATAAGAAGCGTAAAGCAGACTTAATTGTTATATATGTCCGTTTTTATGATGACGTCACGGCTACGTCATTTGTTTTTCAATGAGAACCTATCGTCATCAATCTTCGCATTCTGCTCATTTCATTCTTTTGGCGGGAAATCAATTGAACGAGTGACTTCAATGTATTGGGGTGGAGAGAATTTGAGTAACGCGTTGAGGTTCAGATGCAGCTGAACGTGCAAGTTGGTGTGTGTGTGGTGATGTGTGTGGTTGTGTGGTGATGTGTGTGGTGATGTGTGTGGTGATGTGTGTGGTTGTGTAGTGATGTGTGTGGTGAGGTGTGTGGTTGTGTGGTGCTGTGTGTGGTGAGGTGTGTGGTTGTGTGGTGCTGTGTGTGGTGAGGTGTGTGTTTGTGTGGTGCTGTGTGTGGTTGTGTGGTGATGTGTGTGGTGTTGTGTGTGGTTTTGTGGTTGTGTGGTGATGTGTGTAGTGACGTGTGTGGCTGTGTGGTAACGTGTGTGGTTGTGTGGTGCTTAGAGTGGTTGTTTGGTGATGCATGAGTAATTGTGTGGTTGTAAGGTGCTGTGAGTGGTTATGTAGTGCTATATGTGGTTGTGTGGTGATGTGTGGTTTTGGGGTTTGATGGTTGTGCGGTGTGTGTATAAATGCGTGATTGTGAGTTTATGTTTCGCGTGTTTGAACACACTACAAAAAGTGTGTTCAACTGTTCATACGTGAAGTGTGTTTAAAATGCAGTGTGAACTGTGGGTAGAATTGTATGTATGGAGTGTTGGTTGTTTCTTTTCATGTTTTTCACTGTCATTCTAAAAATCTGTCCAAAATCAATCATTGTCACAAGTTTCAAGTCAGCGTCGGCTGAAATTTGGCATGGCGAATTTGTTTGAAAGTGTCAAACGCAATAGAGATTTTTATGTATTGGTGACAAAAGGCTTTATTGATATTCTTTGTAGTTCTTGTGAGGAGTTGAAGTGTGGTGTGGTGTGGCGTGGTGTGGCGTGGTTGAACGTCGATCATGTGAAATCTGGTTTGTGTGTGTACGTTGTACAGGTGAACGTTGCTGTTTCGGCTATGACAAAAGTGCGATTTACATCTTGTTTTTCTATTTGTGTGTGTATGTTTATGTGTGTGTGTGTTGTGTGTGTATGTTTATGTGTGTGTGTGTGTGTGTGTGTGTGAAAAGTTATCTCAATTGTTTGGTTTTGAGGAAAAAGTTAAGTGGATAATTTATCTTTTATACCCAATAAACACGCAATTCATAAACATCTTCGTTAAAAGACGTCTGCAAGTTGGCTTTTGAATTTTTCAACAAATAAGGTGCGGTAAGTATTTTGGATTTTAAGAGCATTTGTTTCAAATGATTAATGTTCATACTTCACGTTGGGATGAAAAATGAAAAAATGAGGGAAAAACACAAATGAATGAATGAAGAAGTAAAAAAATGAATTAGTGAAGAGATAACTAAAAAATGAATTAGTGAAAAGATAACAAAAAATAACTGAATAAAGAATAATAAAAACGAATGAATGAAGAAATAGGAATAAAGTGACCTCTGCCTCCCTCTTATTTGTTGCTCTATGGAACAGAAAGATGCACTTTGTTTATTTATGCAAGAGAAAAAAAATTTCACCGGCCAATCTTTTGTTGAGAGAGAAATGCTTCATTCTCGCTTCGTTACTTCTAATAAAAATATAACGACTCAAACTAAATTGAAGGAAAAATAAAATTAAATTTTTCTGAAAAATTTTGTTAGTTCCGCAAAAACTTCCAATCCAACAAATTAATAAATGTTATGGTATAATTATTTCTGGGTTGGAAATTAGATTTCGTTTTTTAAAAAAAGCGCAATATGGCCATCTCCCGTTCATCTGCACAGCAGTCTCATTTCATAAAAACAATAGATTGATACAGACAACTTAACACACGATCAACAGGATCCAGCTACCGTTCTGCGGTCTGTGTGAGGTGATCAATATGCCGCTCCTTTTAAGTGCAAAATCGACTAGACCAAAATTTGGCGTGATGAGCTAAAAAAAGGCCAGCCTAATTTTGGTGACTCTAGATTGCGCATGCTGATTTTTTTGCCCCCACGTTAAATTCACAAAGTTTCAACACTTAAAATTTTTCAATTTCCTCTTCATCCGCCCATCCCTGTTGCTCAACAAAACTGCTTTGAAGTTTAAAAAATTGTATTGTCAACAATTTAAAGAATTATTTTTAAAAAAGTTATGTTCTAGAGCTGCTTGTAAATGAAAAAATTCTAAATGTGAGTTAGTAAAACAATCAATATTTTTAGTTACTGACATCCTATCTATTGATTAATATCTAATGTACGCCAGTACAAAACACAGCAACCATCTACATCAAAACAAACCACACCACAGTGCTAACGGAAATACACCACTTTCAGAAAAATAACATCACCAACAACAATGCCATAATACTAACAACAACAACTAACAACAACAACAAACTCGACACAATACAAACCTTGCACTTTTTTCTTTCCATCAACTAGTAGGCTAACTCTGTTTTGTCGTTGTTCGAACATGATCGTCACCCATTTGTTGTTGTTGTTGATGTTGCTGTTGATGTTTATGTTGTTGTTGATATTGTTGTTAATACTGTTGTTAATGTTGTTGTTGTTGATGTTGTTAGCATCACTGATCATCTCGTCAGCGACAAGTCTCTGCGAGGATAAGAAGAAAATGAAAATGATCATGATGGCGATAGTCATGAAGTCTGATGTGACAGCACCATGATGGATGGCTCCTAAACTTTCAACGATTTCAAATAGTTTCAGTTTATAAATTTTTTTCATTTCAGTTGCAGTGCTCGAACTGAATTGACTGCATCGTTACGCTGGCACTGTGGCACTCGTTCGCATTCGCTCTCATGCCTTCTACAAACATGTTTGCATTCACGTAAGCACTGCAGTCTTTATTAAGTTCGGTTCGTGTTACGTTAGATTTGAATGAATATGCAAATGAAGGCTCAAATGATGATGAAGATGATGATGAAGAGGATGATGATGAACCTGATGACTCAAACGATGAGGAACACGAAGATTTGCTTGTTGATGTGTCTCATAAAATATTTGATGACTCAATGGACGAATAAAAAGACGTTTTGTTGGTCATGCATTATGAATGCGCGTTCCATTGTTTGTTACAGACAAAAATGTTTCAGGAATGCTGATCATGCTGTTATTGCGTACAAAGTTAACATAATGTTAAAATAAACTTTTGATGTTAATGTTTGTGAGTCTGTTGCTATTGGTTTTATTCCGAACAATTGATTTTATTGGATCGCAAACATTACGTCAAATAGATTTTATATTGGAAAGGAGCTGTCATCTTGTTTGAAACTCGTCCCGAAAGCTTTGATTTGCTGAACTTGAAAGAATTGGCACGCTCTCAGAGGAACTGCAATATTCTTCTTCTAATTATATCAGCGCAGTGTCATTTTGAAATGATGCGAGTGGTATTTTCGTGTGAAATGAGTTGATGTGCTGATGTTGTATGTCGCAAGTTTTGTGGCGTATTGTAATGTTGGAACAAGGTATTTTAACGTGTAATATTGATTAGTGTGCTGTCTGATGTTGTGTTGTGGAAATGTTGTGAGGATTATGATTTTCAAAATGATGGATGTTTATAATATGTAAAAATATTAAACAAATGTTGAGTTAATATTTTACGTCACAAAAGTTAACAAAAAATCATTTAAAATTGATATAAATCCGTTGACGAAATTTATTTTTCTCTATACAATTCATTAATTGGTTGTTCTTTGTTAATATAAATAATTAAATATCTCTTTGTAGACAATTGCCTTTTGATGTTGAACTTTGAAACAATTGATTTATGATTTGATTTGCTTGAAGAATGGCTGAATTTAATTTACTAAAAGATCAACCTCGTTACTTTTTTAAGACTTATTGCGTTATAAATTATCACACGAGAATGATATAACAGTAGAAGTAACACTAATATTTTAAAAAATCGCAGTCAAATTTGTTATTTAAAAAAAATTTTTCAAAATTATTCAAATTTTACAAAATAAATTTTAATATTGGAATGCATCTTAAAGGTCACTCAATCAGGTAGATGGAACTTGACGTTTTATATCGACAACTAAATAGTTTAACTCCAACGTTGTAAGAAGTGATATATTTAGTGTAATATTTGTAACACTGACATTTTTTCGTATCGTTAGTTGTATATTTGTTATTTTTAATTGATGAACTATTGTTGAAATCAAGTTATTTATTTCTGCCAAAAATGAAGATGTCTCCTTTGTTGGTTTTTTTTCTCACTTTTGCTGGTTGAACTTTTGGTAGAAAATTATTATCAAACAAACTTTGCAACCAATTTGAAATGTATGTAGTCCAAGATAAGGGTTGTTGTTGTTAGTTGTTTGTTGTTGTTGTTTGTTGCTTTTGTTTGTTGTTCTTGTTTATTGTTCAATAGTTCAATTTGTTAATATTTCAACATAATTATCCGGCCAAAATATATCCAAATTTCAAATTTAATGCCCGCCATTTAAAATTAGAAAAGAAAATTACGTCAAATATTGAGATTATTAATAAATTTAAAAAAATTACAATTTAATTGTAATTACAATTACAATTTAATTACAAACAATTTGTTATATAATTATTAACAATATTTTCAGCTATTAGTGCAGTGAACGCTGTCATAAGAAGCATTGAAAGCAATCATTCAGAGCGGCCAAACACGATTAATCCAATTATAATAATGGACAGTTTGCTTGTCAAACCATTATTTCTTTCTCTGTGCAATGCGCTTGCTTCGTCTTCATCAGAATGATGTTCAACGCTAATCATTTACTATATTATATATTATATATATTATATATATATATATATATATTATATATATATATATATATATATATATGTATATGTGTGTGTGTGTGTGTGTGTGTGTATGCGTACGTATACATAATGTCATGCATGCATGAACGTGTATATGGGCAAGTACAGTGGGATACTTGCATCGTAGCACAAGAATGGGTGTCATATATGACGTAGATTGTTTGCCGGCATGTATGAGCAAGAGTTCGTCCTATCGCTTGCAAAACATGATACTGGCATTAATGGATGCAGTAACTATTGATGCATATATTAATCACCAGCTTTGGATAATGTAACGTTCGGTGAGCACGTAATATTTTTACACTCGGATGGGCCGTGTGACGTTTGTTAATGAAACTGCATAGAACCGGCTGCACAACCTAGCAAGCTTGCAAAACTCTGGTTCCGCTTCTTTTTAAAATTAAAATTTTTCAATGTCTTTTTGTTAAACTAAAAGCAGTATTTTTTATTACAATAGTATGAAATATGAATAAACATAGTCATTCTTTAACTTGATTTTTTATTCCATAATTCATCCAAAGTTATGTTTAAAATGTTATTTGGCCAATAAAATTTCTTAGTGTTTTTGTCTTTCTGTGCTAATTTAAGACATAAAACAGTACTTTTCTAAGGGTTTCTTACTATTAAAAATATAATTTATTTTTTAAACAGATGGAAACAATGTTTGCATAGTCAATTTTCTTTAACCACAAAGTTTTTATTACGTCATCCAACTCTCTGACTGACATCAACATCATCTAAGTAGTGTTTCTCAACTGTTTTTTGTGCTATGCACTTAGCATAAAAATTTCATACTCGCGTAACATTCATGCAACAACTGATGTTTTTCAGAAAAAGCTCTGTGAAGTGGTGGAACCAAATTTTTTGGTTTTTATAGCAAGTGAAATAGGATTTGTAAAAAAAATTTTGGTTTGGCATTAATTTTTTGTTGTGAGAATATACGCAACGCATTTACGATGAAAATTGCGTAAGTTATTTTTATTAAACATGCGTCGTTTGTTAATTTGTCATCAAACAAGATAAAATTTGTTCATCATAAAATCTTTCTGACCAGTTAGATGTACTTTTTAACAGTTTTTGAATTTTAAAAAATAAGATGCCTCCTTACTCTTTGATTAACTGTCTAATTTTTATTATTAGTTTCTTATTTATGTTTTAATTACAGTCTATTAATTCTATTATGATACGTTTTGCTGCCAAATTAATATAATTATATCTAAATTTGGTTCATCTCGATTTATGACCACCAACATTATATCATGTTATCTCTCAATTATTTCATCCTAATTTTGGAAATATTTTCATCGGATGACAGCAGCACTTATAAGAAGCTTTTCTTTAACCAGATTATACTTCATTTATGTTTGGAGTATGTGCTCGACCACATTACATCAAGTGACGAATTTTTGTTACAAAAAAGGAAAATAATAATAAAACTACTACTACTACTGCTTCTACTACTGCTACTGCTGCTGCTACTACTACTACTACTACTTCTACGACTACTACTGCTGCTGCTACTACTACTACTACTACTTCTACGACTACTACTGCTGCTGCTACTACTACTAATATAATTTCTACTACTACTACTTGTACTACTAATACGACTACTTCTACGACTGCTACACTACTACTACTAATAATAATAATAATAAAAATAAAAATAATAATGATTTATTTTCTACAAATTAAGACTGTAAAACATTTTAATGGTCAAGCAACGTCAATAAAAATGTGAGAATTTCTGCCACTAACAGGAGATACGACTCTGCTCTGCGTGCACATCAACACTTTCAACTACACCAATTCCATCATGTCATGCTACTAACTTGTGTTCACCAGCCATAACTAACTTCAATTATTTTATTTTTTTATCTTGGTAGCGAGTTTACTACCATCTGTAAATACTAATATAAAATGTTAACTTGATCACATTTAAAAGTTATTTAAAGTGTATCATTAAAAAGATTTTTTAATGTAACACTTTCTAAGCTCTGGGTAGGCGGTTCATTGAAGCGTTACGTTTTGATTAAGTAACTTAAAACCAAGAACATAACCTAAGAAATGAGTTACAGATTTTTAGCACCGATATTAGCGCCGATATTTGTAAGAAAGATATTTCAAATTTTTTCTAAATTTCCAACAATCAGATATCAGACTAGCAATCTAGCTCTTGTATGTTGCCCATTGTTAGGTGACAGTCAACTGCACGTGTGATGTCTTGTTAGATTACATTCTTTAATGCTAATATTGCTGGATGTTCATTTCAGAGTTTTTGATTGTTTTGAATATGAAATAACAATTAATTTATAAAATTATACACAAAGGTAGTTATAAAATAAATGAAATAAAAAAAGTTTCCAACAAGTCGTTCATGAAAATTGTGCAAATCAAATCAGTCAGTTGAAACAGCCATGGGTGTTATTTTGTAAAGACGTGTTACCCGCGTTGTGATAATTATAGAAATTTATTTTACTTCAAACTACTAGAAAATGGCGACAAAAGAAAACAAAGTTTCAATCAACAAACAGCGTTATTTTATGATCGAATTTGGGCAGTTTGCAATAAAACATATCAGAAGTAGATAAAAAACGTCAAATCTAAAAAAAAAATCTTTAAAAATTCAAAATGAATTTATAGTAGTAAAAAATTTATGATTTTAAAGCAGAAGTTTAAATGCTTTTAATAAATTTTATTAAACATCCACAACTTATTTATTATTATCAAATTTATGATTTAAAACCACAATTAATTGGTAAAAAACCGCGGTAATAATTTAAGATTTTACAATCATAATTTAATATTTATAAATAATTTTAAGAACAACCGTCGTTAAAACCGAATCAAAAATGATAGTGTAGGTTAAAAAAAAACACAAAATCATTCGAGTAGATTGATGGCGAAACGGGCCATCAGGTTGA